ACACGGCAAATGGTGAATTATTTTTTTTTCTTGAGACCTTGATACAATTCCACACTGTTGATGACACGACTGTGGTGCTAAAGTTCATTGTCATTAAATTGTCATCAGTTTGTTAGATCGGCCAAATTTAGTGACTGTCGATTGAGTCATACAAAATGTGATTATCTGCCGATACTGATCTTTAGCCAATTGGTCAGACCATCCCTAATTTGTAATGTTAATGAACTTGTATATTGTTATCTTAAAAAGTCATTTGTTTTTGCAGAGGCTCTTAAGAACAACCTGCTGACATCAAAGGTCAACCAGCAAGAGGCTGAGAGGGCACTGTCAAAATGGTTCACTGGAGCAAGAGACAGAGGAGGACAGAGGGCCTCAAGAAGGCACCAAAAGATGGATGCAGTTTAAGGTTGACTTGAAAAGTTGCTGCTTCTAACTGTTCTAGTTCTGTATATTTTTGTTTCTTCTTTTTTTTTTTACTTGTATTCCTACATTTCTCTTTAAAGTGAGCTAAAGCTTCCCAAAACACTTGAGGCTGGTTCTAAAAGTTTTGTGCCATTGTGACAAACATGACATATATTGTTAAGTTAAATAAAATTGAAATTTGAAAGGAATTCACTTTTCTCTCTACTGCTTTCTGCCATGGTAATTGTTTTTGCTATTTTATTTGTGTGGTGTTGCTATACAGATTTGCCAACAATCCCACTTACAACCCTTGTTTCAAGCCCATGTAGTACCTGCATAAAACTTAAAGCTGGGTCCGAGATGGGTCCTGCACATGTTGCCTAGTTGGTTCCCACCTAGTAGCAAGAACAATCCTATATGAAATCCATGTGGGCAATTAACATGGGGCCATTATGGAACCCGCAGACAATCCCATATAAAACCCATATTTCAGCCCATTTCAAACCCACATGTGTTCCATATACAAATGTAAGCTGGGTTAAAGCTGGGACGGAGATGGGTCCTGCACATGTAGCCCAGTTGGGTCCCACCTAGTGGCAAGTCCACTCCCATATGAAATCCATGTGGGCAATTGATATGGGGCCATTATGGAACCCGTGGACAATCCCATATAAAACCCATATTTCAGCTCATTTCAAACCCAGATGTGTCCCACATGCAAATGTTAGCTGGGTTAAAGCTGGGACCGAGATGGGTCCTGCACATGTAGCCCAGTTGGGTCCCACCTAGTGGCAAGTCCCCTCCCATATGAAATCCATGTGGGCAATTAACATGGGGCCATTATGGAACCCGTGGACAATCCCATATAAAACCCATATTTCAGCCCATTTCAAAACCACATGGGCCCCACATACAAATGTTAGCTGGGTTAAAGCTGGGACCGAGATGGGTCTCGTGCATGTTGCCCAAGTGGGTCCCACCTTGTAACAAGTGCAATCCTATATGAAATCCATGTGGGCAGTTGACATGGGGCCATTATGGAACAATCCTATATGGGGACCATTTTTCAGCCCAGTTCATACCCATATGGGCCCCACATACAAATGTTGGCTGGGTACAGTGTTGACAGACCCGGGGCCTCATTTATAACCGTTGTGTACGCACAAAACCTGCCCTGAAAGGAGCAGATTCCTATGCTTCCTATGCAGATTCCTAGATTTCCCATGCAAATCTTGATGGGAAAATTTGCACACCTGCACGCAAACTCTGACCCATGCATACAGACTTTTTTCCTGGAGAGAGAAAAGTAATGAAGTAAACCGATTTTAAACTGTTTTTATTTCATCATATAGGCTACATTTACATTAAATATTCCACTCTCATTAATGGAGATAAGCACTGAAGTTACATATAGTCATTACGCAGAGGTTAAACCAAAATTATATGAATTTAGACAGCCTGTTTGTAGTGGATGCGCTTGATTACTTTTCCTGTAATATGTTATGTTTTAATGACAGCGAGGAGTGCTATAGGTGCACAATAATTTATATGTAAAGTAAACTGCAGATCTCATGTTATGAGAAAATATTTTTAGCGAGAACAATGATCAATGATGCTCACTTACTTCGATACTGTGGCGGACAATGCTGGATTCGGTGGAACGGTCTATTGTCCGGTTTGAATAGGACCAATGATAGCTTACTGTACAACTACAGCTGCACGGAAGTGTTGATGCCGTGTGAAGGCATCTCCACAACATTATGAAAAATACCACTGTTTTGGAAGGATAAAACTTGAAGAAAACGGTAAGATTTGCATGTTTCCTTTTTAAAATAATTAGTCAATGACGCACAGAGTCAGATAATTGTATTTACACTGAAATAAATGTAGGCCTATATTTTTCCACTAAAAATAGCTCAAATATGTTCACCTTATCAGCAAAACCGCTTTAATTTAATTAAATTTGAATTTTTTAAAACAATTGAAATATTATTGGACCAGTGGAAATGAATGAACTCTATTCTAAATTATTTTTCTGAGAATTATTTTAAACAGTTTTTTATGGATATTTTGCTATATTTATTCTAAGACGTAACAAGGATACCGGATGATTTTTAGCAATAAAAATGTGCATGGCACAAATGGCATTTATAGTCTACCTTTGATGTGATAAACATGGTGTCACGTGGAAGGGAATGTGCATAGAAATTATATGCAGATGAGGTTATGCATAGTAAAACTATAGGCGTTGTAAGCTCCAAATGTGGTGATTTCGGGGAGGAGTCGGGGTGGAGATGCATGTATGCACAGTCTTCCCCTGACTGGGATTTACAGTATAAAGGGATTTTTGCAAAGGTTCTGGCTTTTGAGCGTTTGCAAAATCTAGCTTTTGTGCCTATATAAACATTTAGGATGAAATCCATGGAGAGTTCATAAATGTGACCCCCAAGCTGTTGAGAATTTTAGCTGCTGCATTTAGTAACAGGAAATTACTTCTTATCCAGTTTAAAATAAATAACATGAATAGTAAATATTAGGAAAAGAGAAATTAAAGAGATTGTTCACCCATCATTTACTCACCCTTAAAGTTGTTTCAAACCTTTATGAGTTTCTTTCTCTTGCTGAACACAAAATAAGATATGTTGAAGAATGTTAAAAGGACAGTTTACCAAAAATAAAAATTATGTCATGATTTATTTTTTTCCATACCATGGAAGTCAATAGAGACCATCAACTGTTCAACTGGCCTCAAAATGGTATTTCCATTGTATGCATTACTGATTTGAATAATTAGTAGATAATCCACACAGCATTATATTGTAATCATTTGACTGCTGATTGTCCATCAGTTTAGGGCTTGTCTGGCTCTGTGTAAAAAAAATTAACAGTGTAAGGAAGAACTTTTGTGTTTGTGACTGTCAGGCATTGCTGGACACTTTACCTCATTTTTGAGATCAGGTAACATGCTGGTTCAACGCATGCCCTGTTTGCACTGCACTCACCGAGACACGGTGTAACTGTAGAACAGTGGAACCATTGAGAATCTAATAATGAGGAAAGGTTTAGAAACTTGTTTGGACCCTCATATGGATACTGCGCCGTGTGTGGTAAGCACAGAGTCTTTGTATGTACTGATTATGTAATAAAAATTTAATTTGCTTAATTGTAAAATGTTTAAGAACTTGACTTGAATTTAACCCAGGTTGATTAGATAGATAGACAGACAGACAGACAGACAGATAGATAGATAGATAGATTATTTATGCATACATCCATTTATTTCTCTCTCTCTCTCTCTCTCTCTATATATATATATATTTACATTTAGTCATTTAGCAGACGCTTTTATCCAAAGCGACTTACAAATGAGGACAATAAAAGCAGTCAAAACTAACAAAAGAGCAACAATATATGTGCAAATGACAAGTCTCGGTTAGCCTAATGCAGTACTATGTGCCCTGTTTGCACTGCACTCACCGAGACACGGTGTAACTGTAGAACAGTGGAACCATTGAGAATCTAATAATGAGGAAAGGTTTAGAAACTTGTTTGGACCCTCATATGGATACTGCGCCGTGTGTGGTAAGCACAGAGTCTTTGTATGTACTGATTATGTAATAAAAATTTAATTTGCTTAATTGTAAAATGTTTAAGAACTTGACTTGAATTTAACCCAGGTTGATTAGATAGATAGACAGACAGATAGATAGATAGATAGATTATTTATGCATACATCCATTTATTTCTCTCTCTCTCTCTCTCTCTATAACACAAAGAAAAACAAGTAAATAGAATAGAAAAAATAGAAAGCTAGTGGGTTTTTTAAATAGATAAAGTAGAATTAAAATAGAATAGGAAGTGTGTGTGTATATATTTTTTTCAGTGTATATATATATATCAGGTAAGATATTTTTTTGAAAGATTAATAATTCATCAAGGAAGCATTAAAGAGTATTAGTGACAGTAAATACTTTTACATTTTTACAAAAAAATATATATTTCTAATTTCTATTAATCAATAATCCTGAAAATTTATATATAATATTAATTAAATGTATTTTTTATTTTATATTTTTTTATACTAAAGATTGTCAGTGTTTTGTGTTAAATTTGGTTGTAGTATGTAAAGTAGGATTTGAAACAAGACCTTTCCTTGAGGAGGAGTTAAATAGTTGCCATTTGAGATGTGAAACTATCATTAGTCACATTCTTATTTTACAGTTACGATCAAAGAGTACGTGGCAGGTGTTGCTAGTGTCTTCACACACTATAGAAAGCAGAATCACCTCCACAGAAGGAATCAGGTGGATGATCATGCATGTTTTATAACTTTACCTCCCTCATCTGTCTGGCAGTCAGCGTCTCCAAGCAACAGAGGTCAGAGGAGCACATCATCAGGTGCGGTTACCAATTGCAGAAAACACAGAATAACTAGTTATGAGTACTATTGAGTGAATAGATCTGGACTAAATAACTCTTTTGTGCTTTTGTTGGCAAGTTCTTGCTCTTTGCTTTGTTTTGGAGGATTTTGTATAAATGTTGTGGCCTGAACAAAGCCATTTTGGAAGTCCAACACTATCTGACGTCAACGGCAAATCATGAGAAGTATGTGCATATTGTTTCAAGTAGTCTCAGAGCTGATTCTTCATATATTCTGCATTTAAATAAGGTCAGGTACAAACTGTCAGACTAACGTAGGTGAACACTATACTAATGGTTCCTCTCAGGTGTCTGCCTTCTACTAATGGTGACAATCACTCAAGTTCAGCTGTCGTTGCTCTGCCCTTCTTCTTGTGTGGTGTGTTCTGAAGATGTCATCATCTGTAATAAACTCTTAAACATAATTGGTAAGTAAATTATTATGACGCTGAAGAATTGTTTTAGGGATAGATTAGGAAAAAAATTTGAATTCTGTAATTTACTCACCTTATGTTGTTTCAAACCTGACTTGTTTATTCTGTGTAATATAAAACTAGATATTTTGAAGAATGTCCAAGTGTTTTGTCCATACAGTAAAAGTCAAAGGTGTCCAGTGTTGTTGTTGGAGCCCATTGTATAGGGAAGAACAGTTGAAATATTCTTCAAAATATATTTTGATTTACGCATGAGGGTGAGAAAATGATGACAGAATTTATTTTTGAGTAAACTAACCCTTTTAAGTACACTGAAAACTGTTGGAAATGCATTTTTAACTCTTAAAGCCTACTCTATCATATTTGATACACAAATTTCTAAGGCCTTATCAACATGATTAAAACTTTGCTGAAAAACCTGTTGTACACAATCTACTACATTCCTTCTGTCTTCTGATTGATAGTTTATACTTTGAGCAAGTAAAAAGGCCTTTTATTATTATTAAATTTTAGAAAAATACATATAAAATGTAAATTTCAAATATGATACATTTTGAGGAGCATTCATTTGTGCATCTCTCAATCATCAATGTATTGCATTGCAGTAAATGTTTTGCCCGCACAATAATAAAAAAAACTTTGATCATGAATCTAAGCATTCAATTAAAGGGGTCATGAACTGCCTTTTTTATTATGTTGTACTGTTCTCTGAGGTCCCCTAACGTTATCCAGATTTTTACATCAAAAAAACATCATAATTTATAAGTAATAGGCTATTTTCTGTCCTGTCTCGGTGCAGCAAATGATACTTAATGTATCAATTAATAAGACTCAGTTTGATACTTAGTCTTGTCTGTCTGAAAGAGAGTCCTGATGCAATCTGAAGGCTCAAGTTGATCTTTGCTAAAGTTGGTTGATGAAAAAGAACCAGTTTGAGTCAGAGGATCTTGAAGTGGAAAAATTAGGTCGAAGTCAAGCTTAGGTTGGCTTCTTGAGGACTTTTAGCTCTGCATCTGAAAACTTCTGTTTAACTCTGATCTTGTGATCTTTTAAACTGTGAGGATGTCCCACCCTTCAGGAAGTGCGACTGAGCCAGTGAGAAATGTGTCTGTTTCAAAGTGAATGTAGAGTGAAACCTCTACATTCCTTTTGAGTTGTAAAACAATCTTATCTTGAGGTGTGTCTTTGTTACCATGGTAACCAGAGGCCTGGTTCTCCCTACCACATGTTTTACTTGTTGGGGTGTGGTATTGTCCACTATTTGTTAAATATAACAAATACTCATGTGTCTGATCCACCTCTGTCATTACAAGTTAGTTGGCATGGCATCATTTTTTAGTTTAAATCTTTATGAAAATCCCGTGTCGAATTGTGCATTGTTTGTAAGTGAATCAGCAGTAAAATGAAGTGAACAAAAGACCAAGTTCTTACCCAGCAAACACTGAATGAACATTCCCTATAGGTTGCAATTGAATGGTCTCTCCCATTGCATCAGTGTTTTGACGCTAGGGGAATCTCCGGTTACAGAAGCCTGATTTGTTAACATTTGTGTAGCTGCACAAACGAATGGCACTCAAGCCCACCAGAAGGGGAGGCGCCGACTGCTATATAAGTTGGCTCAGAGAGCCATTTCATCAGAATTTTTCTCCTTCATCAACAAGATCATCTCTTTCCTGACTCTGTGACCAAGAAGCCAAAGAAGAACAGCTGCTGCTCGCGGGCTCTGGAAGCGCCCTCGGATGGAGAAGCGGTACCCGTTTCCAAAGCACCAAGGTCTCCGCCCTAGAGTGACATTGGACCCTGAGCCTCAGAAGCCGTCCTGATCAGTTTGCAGAGAGGAAGAGGAGAGGGTCAGTTCTCGCCCAGGCCGGAACTCCCTCAAAGAAAGCTCGCCCTTACTCTACATCCCTCCGCTCAACATAGAGCGATGAAAGCTGTATTCAAGCTGGGCCCATCCTGTCAGTTCAGCGCATGCCCAAGCAAGCTACCGCTGTTATAGCAGACCCATATATTCACAAAATGAGCGTTTCGCCTCTCCTCAATATCACGAATGTCAGTTCCCTGCCCTGTGCAGTGAACTACTTTTCAAAAAGATAGAACCCATTGCCATCCGGCTGCAGGCTTGGAAAGCCATCCTGGATGTGTCAAGTTGGCTTCTAAAAAAACATAGAATGAGGTTACTCGCTTCAGTTTGCTCGCAGGACGCCTCGTTTCAGAGGTATTATTCAAACTTCGGTATGGGACAACGAAGCCCACGTTGTTCGGTCCGAAGTACAGATGTTGCTTGCAAAAGGAGCCATTGATATGGTTTCTCTAGGAAACAGCGAGTCAGGCTGCTACAGCCGCTACTTCCTCGTTCCCAAGAAAGATGGCGGGCTCAGACCTATTCTCGATCTCAGACATCTGAATTGCTCACTCATGGTGATGGCCATTCAAGATGTTATCTTTGAAACAGATCCTCGCGCAAGTATGTGTGTGGATCTGAAAGATGCATACTTTCACATCCAGATATCCTCCCCATCACAGACTATTCTTGAGATTTGCAATCGAGGGAGTGGCCTAGCAATACACAGTTCTGCCATTTGGGGTCTCCCTGGCCCCATGCACATTTACCAAGTGCATAGACGTGGCTTTTTCCCCTCTGAGACAGATGGGAATCCGTATTCTGAAATACCTCGACGATTGGTTGGTTTTAGCCAGATCAGATCAGAACGGGAACTCAACACTCACAGGTAGCTGCTGCTCAGCCACCTACAGCATCTTGGGTTGAAAATCAATTTGACCAAGAGCTCTTTGTCTCCCAGACAGTGAGTAGTCTTTCTGGGGACAGTTGTGGACTCAATTCAGACGAGAGCATGGATTACGCCAGAACGCTCAGAGACAATGTCAAGTCACCTTTATTTATACAGTGCTTTTAACAATACAGATTGTGTCAAAGCAACTTTACAGTATTAAATAGGAAAATAGTGTGTCAATAATGCAAAAAGACAATAGTAAACAATCTTTACTGAAAAAGCAATTTTCAGTTAAAGGCAGTTCAACATTGAATTCAGTGATGTCATCAAAAAGCTCAGTTCAGTTTAAATAGTATGTATCTCCACAATGTATCTCCAGGGAAATGGAGATTACATCCCCAGATGGTTCAAATGATCTGGTCTGTCTTCGGGAGGGCAGAGGTGGAACTCTTCACCTCAGAAGACAACATTCACTGCCCAATTTATTTCTCAAGACAGCGAGATGCCCTGGTCCATGATTGACCCAGCACTCATCTGTACACCTTTCCTCCAATTGACCTGCTCCCTCAGGTCATCAGACAGGTCAGGGAAGTCGAATGCTCAGTCCTCCTGGTGGCCCCACTGGAGTAACAAAGCATGGTTCCCTGAGTTGATTCAGCTGCTATCGGCAGCCCCGTGGCCAGTAACGCTGAGGAAGGACCTTCTCTCGCAAGTGAAGGGCATGATTTGGCATCCTCGGCCAGAGCTGTGGAACCTTCATGTTTGGCCGTTTTCATGTTTTTTATATAAACTATGCATTCCGTTAGTTTTGTAAATTTGTAGGTTTCATCGGGCTGCGAAAAATATAGAGCTGAGTATCATCAGCATAACATTGAAAGCTAACACCATGTTTCATGATGATATCTCCCAAGGGTAACATGTAAAGTGTGAAAAGCAACAGTCCTAGTACTGAGCCTTGTGGCACTCCATACTGTACTTGTGATCGATATGATATCTCGTCATTTACTGCTATGAATTGATAAGTAAGATTTGAACCATGACAATGCAATTCCACTAATGCCAACATCATTTTGTAGTCTACTCAAAAGAATGTTGTGGTCAATAGTGTCAAATGCAGCACTAAGATCCAGTAGTACTAATAGAGAAATACAACCATGATCGGGTGATAAGAGAAGGTAATTTGTAACTCTGATGAGAGCAGTCTCAGTACTATGATACAGTCTAAATCCTGACTAGAAATCCTCAGACATATGATTTCTCTCTAAGAAGGAACATAACTGAGAGGATACTGCCTTTTCTAGTATTTTTGACAGAAAAGGGAGATTTGAGATTGGTCTGTAATTAACTAATTCTCTAGAATCAATTTGTGTTTTTTTTTTAAATGAGAGGCTTAATAACAGCTAATTTGAAGGTTTTAGGGACATATCCTAAATACATTGATGAATTAATAATATTCAGAAATAATATTCAGAAGAGGATCTATGACTTCTGGAAGCACCTATTTTAGTAGTTTAGATGGAATAGGGTCTAACATTCATGTAGTAGGTTTTGATGATTTGATAAGTTTATACAATTCTTCCTGTCCTATAGCAGAGAATGAGTGAAATTGTTCCTCAGGGGATCTATAGTGCACTATCTGATGTGATAATGTGGCTGACGGCTGCATGGTTATAATTTTATCTCTAATAGTATCGATCTTGGAAATAAAGAAATTCATAAAGTTATTACTGCTGTGTTGTGGGGAAAGGTCTGCATATGTTGATGCTTTATTTTTCGTTAATTTAGCCACTGTATTGAATAAATGCCTGGGGTTGTGTTTGTTCTCTTCTAAGAGAGACGAAAAGTAAGTAGATCTAGCAGTTTTTAGAGCTTTTCTATAAGTAGAAGTCCTTTCCTGCCAACACGAAGCCAACACGAAGCTTAGATGAAAAGTAATCAGATCTAGCAGTTTTTAATGCTTTTCTGTAGAATAGGGTACTTTCCCGCCAAGCAATACGAAATAGCTCTAGTTTTGTTTTCCTCCAGCTGCGCTCCATTTTCCGGGCTGCTCTCTTTAGTGTGTGCTCATTATACCACAGTGTCAAACTGTTTTCCTTAATCTTCCTTAAAGGGGACCTATTATGCCCCTTTTCACAAGATGTAAAATAAGCCTCTGATGTCCCCAGAATGTGTATGTGAAGTTTTTACTCAAAATACCTTGTTAAAATTGCCACTTATAGGGTATGAGCCAAAACGCTCCATTTTCGTGTCTTTCCCTTT